GGAAGAAGATGAACTGGGATTCTGTCTTCTCCATTAGAATGCCAGAAAAGGGTTTTGAATCGTGTTAAAAATTGAGAATTACCTGAAGGTATTTCAACCTATCAAAACAGAAAACAGTCCCTTTCTTTACAAAATTCTATATCTGAGTTGGTTATCTTAAAAGGGAGTAAAAGAATTTCAATAGTATTATCAATTTTAAGTTGCATCCTATGTATGTTAGGTACATCCAGGAGACCAGTGACCTCTGCTGGAAAAGGGGGGTGAATTACCAAGCAAGGCTGTAGACTGTGCCTTTGCTATACCCTTCAGTCAACTTGGTACAGTTAGCCTTCCATTCACTTATTTTTTTCTTCAGTTTGTTTTGCAGACATTTTATCAATATAACTGCAACTCAAATGTGATATTCCATGAGGAACTTCAGCAGGGTCTCTGACAAAGCATTTAACAAAGTTTAGAGAAGTGGTATGCTGAGAACATGCAATGCTCTCAAACTGGACATAACCACATGCTTTTTTCATCTTCAGCTTTAATGTAGACTCTGTGGCAACATAAACAAGTTATTATCTTTCTACAGCTACACAAGCAGAAGGCACTCCTGCAGACCACGCAGGTAAGATTCAGTAAATGGACAAAATTTCTAGTGGACATCGTTTAGCGTAATTTATGAAAAGTATTATTTCAGAAGGAAAATGAGATAATCTTCTGCTCTTAAATGCCAGCAGAAGCTACAGCTGATGAACACAGCTGAAATTCAAGTCATTTACAGATAAGCATGCAAAATTCTACTTACCAGCATTACCGTGCTATTACTGCAAAACAGCACAAAAAATTATGCAGTTCTTGCCAATTCACTAACCACCAGCAAAAGCAATATAGATTATACAGTTGGTTCCCCCCCCCCCCCAATAACTAATGCTTATGCTCTCAGCAGACAAAATTATCATTTTCTAATGAAAAGGCCTGGAAAAGCAGTGTGACAGCTACTTAGTGGCAGTGCTACAAAACAGCTTAAACAGGAAATAATGAATATCATATTCAACCAGAAGTGCTGGCTGACTTTAAAACAGCAAAATGTATTTACACAAACTAGCATTTATCTGGAGAAGACCAGTATATCTACACTTTCAGAAAATACACTAAACTCTTAAGGAAAGAGTCAGTTTTGGTTGTAAGAATACTTTAAGAACTGTTAGCAGAACACTACAGATGAGTTCATTTTAGTCACCTAATAGACTGATGCAACAACATCCCAAAAGAAAAAATACCGTCTGCTTGCAGTTACTTCTTATGGCATCCTGAAGTCTCAGTATGGAAAATGGGGCAATTTCTTCCTTCCCAGTACCTGCCCAAAACCATTTGGAGCAAGACCTGACCAAACAGCCTGAAGTAGGACTACAGATGTCCCAGATTTTGATCTCCCAGTGCAGAGACACGTAATAAGTGTAACAGGACAGAGAAGGATAGGAAAATAGCAACGTTGCTTTAACTTTTCCCTTCCCTTTGGGCTGAAGGCTCTGGCAAGTAGCTGTTCGGATTATTTGAACAGTTGATTCTTCTTTCACATCTTGGATGGACAAGGTCAGATAGCTGTCACTTCAGTTTTTTTTTTTCAGAGCACTTATATTCCTAGAGAATGTTAACATCAACTAAACAAATAGGAACTTCAACGTCACTTTAGACTATAGATCCTGACATAGCAGGGACTCATCAAAAGGGGCAATTAAAGGACAAATTAGCAGGTTTTTTTTTTTTTCCTCAACTGTCTGTGCAGAGATTCCCATTATTTCACCACAATAAAACGTGCATCTGAATTACACACGCATCACTATACTATGCTTTAAAATATCCTCTCAGATACAACTCTGTTCCAAACTGTCTGCTTTGGGCAAAGAAAAACATTTCTGCATTTTATATCCAAGCTTTCTATTCAGATAACAAAAAAGTGCAAAAGTCTCCTGAACCTAAGGAAAAAGTTTAGTTTCAGTGCCTCTGTAGCATCATGCATAGTTACCTCAAGTTTGTAAAAAAATAAAATTAAAATAAGCCATTGGACCTTCTGCACATATACTGCAAAGATTTTTGCACTGGCACAGAACATCACCATTTGCTTATTCCTGATGCAAAGATGCACTGCACGATGCACATTCAGCAGCATGCCAGAGCTGCTATACCAACAGGATAGAATGACTTATATTTGCACAGCAGAACTGATGCTTTCCAAAAACACCGCATGCACACATACAGCATGGTTAAGTCTGCAAAGATACTGCTTGACAATTCTGGAGTTTTAGATCTATGACATCCTGGTCAGCACTGTTTCCCCCAAGGAAACATAAGAAAGCTCCACACTTACTCAAAAGGAAGAAAAAAAAAATACAAAACAGCAAAAAAAGCAGGATTTTTCCAGAGGAAGTCCAGAGAAATGGTAGCACCTGTCACAAACAAACAATCTCAGAGTCACAAAGATCCAGTTCTCCAGGTTTAACCATAAAGCAGTTTTGTTCACTATATGAGTTCTGAAGTCTACAAGATATTAAGCAGAAATTTCATACTCTCCTTCAACCATGCTACCCTGATACAATTTAATTCTTTGTGCTGAATGAAACGATTACTCTTGGCAAAAAAAGCTGGCGGTGAGTCATCAAGGACTGCATCATAACACATCAGGGGAAAAGAGAAGAGTAAAACAAGGTTTTTTAGGCAACCTTCCTTCTGCAAGTTAATGTTTGCAGATTTGAACTCTAACATTATTTTAACTTCAGAAATAACACTACATTGTACTTTTTTTAAATACACAGTTTCTGTCACTTAAAATTTAAATTTCTGAACCAATTACAGCAACAGCTCTCATTCTTACCTACTATCTCTAAGGTAAAAAAAAATTGGTACTCTTTATACATATTTTAAAAAGAAAAAATGAAGGTTTAACATGCCTGCATCTTACCTAAGAGAACAACTCACTAAACACTTCAAAATAATGCAGCATGTAAACTATTTTGTACTGTATGTAAATATTATTCTAATTGCATTAATTTTATAGTAAGTCCACTTACATTACACTACTAGAAGGCTAATTTAGAGGAGTTTGTCATTATTATGGCAGTATTTCAAGACAGCTGACTGTGAAGCACCAAATGATAAAGTTGTATGTTTTGAGTAAGCATATTTTTGGTCCTCAGTTCAGTTGGAGATATTTACCGATACCTTAATTCCTCCTTCTCTTTGAACAAAGAAAACAAGAAAAAGAGGGTATCTACCACAGGTAAAAGCATAACCTAAGACACAAAAATATCACTTAAAAGGCACTGTGCTTTTGCACATTGACTATTTGGATTGGGAAAGTCAGGGGCTTGGAGCACCATATGGAAGGCTGGAAAGATTTCTTGTCAAGAATTAGTTGTCTTGGAAAGAATAAGAGGGATTGAGAGGACAGCTAAGAATCTATAAAAGGTAGAACGATGCTAAAACTCAGAGAGCTACGTGAAAACAAATGCCAAATTCTTCCCAGGAACATTAGTCATGAGACTACATTCTCACCTGCCTGTGGGGTGGAGATTTTTTGGAAGGACATCTTTCTGAAGGCGCTCAGAAACAGAGGAAGTTGTGGATGCTCAGCTACTTAACCCCATTTGAGTATCAAGGGATCAGCACTGGAGGAGTTGGAAGCCAGGTACATCAAAGAGTGTGCTTGTACACCAGCGTGCATGCAGTTAGAATTTCAGTTTTATCTGTAAACATTTAATAACCAACAAATTTTTCAATTCAACATATAGCATTCAGGAAGTATTTGTATTTGACAATTATCTTTGCAAATACTTATTCAAATTATCTTTGTTTACTCTTTAGCAACACTCAAATCCTCTTCATCTTCCTGAAATACTGAACTGTTGTTCAATTACCCAATTCTTCAACAATGTATTCATTGAAAGCTTCTTAAGAAAAGAAGTGAAAGATAGGGAAAAAACATTCCCAGACTCCATAATTTCTCCGTAGTTACAATGACAGTACCTCAAGAAAATGATAAATGCAAGCAGCTTTGATAGCTTGACCCATAGTCAAGTGTCCTTTACACTAAACAGTATATAAAGCATAATGAATACTCTTGGTCCAAGTCAGTGAAATATTTAAGACTGTTCTTGAATCACTTTCATGAATATGGCTTTTCCATCAAATCTGACTTAATACTCTCAAATATGCTAGTAGTTTTTGAAATAGCTCTTTCACTTTCTTTTCATTTACTGCTCTACTTCAGTAGAATTCAGTAGAAATTCTGACCACTGGAAGTGCCTTCGAGTAGTTACAATTTGATTCATTATCAATTAAGCAGGTCAAGCCACAAAAACCTGACTCCCATCACTGCTATTTCCATGTTTGTGGTACTTAGGTTAGCACAAGAGATTTATTTCTGGAATACAAGATAACAGGATTCTACACGAACAATCATCAGTATACAATTTTAAAACTGCTAGATTCTTTTAAAACTGCGTGTCCACACTTCTTAAAAACAGAAAGTATGATACCAACAGAGTAACAATGCAAAAGAAAAGGAAGAAAGAAAAGAAAAAGATGTCACTGTCCCCAGGAACCATGTCTAGTCACGTTTCAGTCAGTCAGTCAGTCGAGGGTCATGTCATTATTTAGTTCTGTAGAAAAAACACAAGTACAAAAATAGTATCAAAAAGCAACATACCTATTTGCATTACAACAGCCTAGGTGATAAAGGCTTTTAACACATTCAGAAGAATAATATTCAGTATCATACATACTTCCTTTTTTTAAAAAAAAAGAAAGTGCCTCATTCTGAGCAGTGAGTGAGAGTCAGCAATTTTTCTACAGTACAGTGCTGATAAAAAATATTTGAAAAATTATTATTTTGGCATATTTTTCAACTCTTATGTAATTACTATTTTAAAATACTTTTGCACAGCAGTAAGTCATTATGTGTACACATTAAACTTCAAGTCTTTTTAAAAAAAGATTTAAGTGAATAAAAACAATGCAAGTCAATTCAGGGATTTGTGTTAAGAGTTATTTTCTAAATTCTGAATTTTTGCTTTTAAACATTTTCCGTAACAGTAAGAAGGATGCCAAGTACTTCTTTCACTTATCTCAGTAACCGTTACCAATAGCCAAACCCTTAGTGAATTTCCAAATCCTGCACAATCATTTTTATGCTTTTGATGTTAGCTGTGTTAGGAAAATTAGAGGGTAAGGCAACAATCTAGTTTTAGTAACTAGATTGTTACTAAAACTGTATAAACTATAAAAAAACTGTTTAAAAACAGGGAAGTAGAGCTAATCATTTGATTCTTTCCCTCCCTCTCCCATTAATACAGTGGACCAAGTAGCTTCTGCAGCCAATGGAAGTCCACTGTCTTGGAGCGATAACTAAAAATTTCCACCCTGTACTCGCTTTTCATCTATGACAGACTCCCATGCATTCTTTGTACTGTAGTACGGCGTAAAACACTAACCAAGTTTACTGACATTTTAAAGCAGAAAGCACCATCATGCATTCAGTTTCAGTTTTTAAATATCCCAAACCACAAAAATAAATAGTTAGCCTGGAATCAAAACACCATCCTAAATTATTTATGTTTTGCAAAATGCATGATTTTTCCTACATAAAGTCATCTGACAGGTAATTACCATTAGAAAGAGCCAGGTCTTTACTCCTACTTTGTGAATACAGAATCAGAGTTGTAGGGGTTGGAAGGAACCTCCAAAGGCCATCAAGTCCAACCCCCCTGCCAAAGCAGGCTTCCTACAGCAGGTGAATACATCTGGCATCAACTTCCTACCACAGGATCCTATATGTTATCACTAAAAAACAAGTAATAAACACACACCACCTCTTCTCTTTGTTTATTTGAGCATACTTATAGATTGAGATTGGGTCATGTCTTCAGACTCAGTCCCTCTAAACTCAGGTTTTAGACTATAAATAATTCTTTGGTCTGTTTTCTTATCATTCAGAAAGTTAGATAACCTTTACAACATGAACAGTAATGCTTTCTCTAATGCTAATATTCCCTCCTATTACAACCAGGAATTTCCCACTAAACCCAAGAATTCTCTCAACTCTTAACAACTTCTGCATAGCAAGCAGTTAACTACCTAGAAACTCTAAACCACTTTCAGTCACTACTTTCCAGAAAGCCAGTCTTACAAGTAATAGGCAGCCTCATCTTCACTCAGGACACAACTGCAGCCTGCAATTATTTTTTTCAGGAATTAACATTTTCTGAGGTTTATTACTAACTTTGGATGTTTTTATCGTATCTATACTTTTGTAGTAAAAAGTAGGGTTTTTTTGTAATCAAGACAGAGTTGGTATTACATTACACTTCAAATCATAGCTTCCCCTATAATGATAGAAAGATTTGGTCTTTTATTATTAGATGCTTTAAAAAAAACACATTTAAGAAAAAAACTTTGTAAATAAAAACATGGGTATGAATTGCATTCAATGGAACTGACAATTTTTACGTTTCAGAAGAGTTTTAGCTCCAATTCCATGCAGACAGATTTGTTTTTTTTCCTTTTTAAGTCATACATGAAAAGACCTTCAAAAACTGCTGCTTATCAAAAGAGAAACACGGAAGTCCTTAGGAAAAGAAGGAGAGTCATGCAGGTGAAGTCTTTTTTGGCCTTTGTAACTCCCAGGTCATGGAAAATACCCACACTGAAATGACAAGGTGTGAAATTTCCACGTAAAACACTGATGTGAAGAGAGTTGGGATTTCAAGTGATATTTTTAGAATGAGAAAAGGACGAGGAAAAAAAAAAGAGAAAGAAACAACCTCTTTTTTTTTCCCCTCCAGCAATAGAGATCTGGTTACTGAAATTATCTGGAATCATACTCTCAATGGCCTATTAAAAAAGTAATATAAAATTTGAATTAAACCAATGTTTCATAAGAACAAGTGAGTTACGGTTCCTAAAGTTTGTAAAGCCTCCATATACAAGCTCTACCACATTTTATTGGCCATGTCATTAACTAAAATACTTAAACTTAGCACTTTAAACATTCACCTCACCACACATTCTGCAGTATCTTGTTCACCATCGCACATTCCAGCTACCTCTGATATTTGAGAGTCCAGATCCAGTCCCAAATTACTAAAGATCGTTTGGTTTCACTTAGCAACATTCCCACAGCCATTTTATTTACTCCTTACTTCATTTGTTCTTTCCAGGACTAAACTCTGCATCCTTACTCAATATCACACTCAGGGCATGTGTTTGTAACAAAAGAAAGACACACACAAGCTGGTCTCAGTTACAACGTTTATTTTTCCAATACTCTTTCAGTTAGACCTGCTACTTTTATGTACATATAGTGAATGTTTCTATGAACATCCAGATTGTTGTTAATTGTTTTGTGTTTGTAGAAACATTAAAAAAATAAAGACTTTTTACTAAAATAAAAGTTTGTATATATAAACATATACACACCCATACACACACACCATACATACACAACCCCCATAAGTTAGGTATATTTCTAGCTATCAACTAACTTGAAATTTAAAATTTATCATGATACAACTTCAAAATGCCTTTCTTCCAACTATTTCAAATAATTGAACTTCAGCTTACACAACCACTGTGACTGGGTACTCACCTACTTAGTAGGTTCTCTGACGTTTGTTAGATTCCTCTGTGGGGGAGTCTGCCAACCTTACTTTAAGTCTGACACCATTCACAATCTTGCCATGTAACGCAGTTATGGCCTCACTGGCACTTGCTCTGTCTGCAAATTTTGCATAGGCCACATTTTTTCCAGCCACGAGATAAACTTTTATTAAGTTTCCAAAACGACTGAAAAAAAAAAAAAAAAAGAAAGAACAACAACAGAAGAGTTCACAGGTTTCATCCAATCTCAACTGTGAAATTTGATAGCTGCAAATTCTCCATTCTCATCTTGTGTTATCCGCCTTGAAAGGTCCTAGTTTTCATTCCCTTCTCTAGAATTCTGCACAAGAATGGAAATAAGCCCAGGAGTCTATAGGCAAAGTCTTCCATGGAATATTACAGTAGAACTACAATTACATATTCTTTTAGAATCACTAAAGCTACTCTATGAAATAGCCACACACAGTAAATACTAAACAAATGAACAAAACCTCACCCACCCCAAATAAAAACCACCAGACAATTGCAAAGGCATCTGAGGCAACTCACTCACATCTTATTTAAATGAACTTGTTCAGCTGCAATTCATCTTTGAAAAGGTCTTGCTGAAATGACTCACAAAGCAAAAGCTAAAGCCTCATAGAAAATCTAAATCCTCAGGAGATTCCTAGACTGCTCCTTAGCAAGTTTGAAGTAAAAGTCTACTTCATACTGAAGTTACATAAGTATCAAGACCAGAAAGTCCAGTACATAAAAAAGGTACATTTTTAGAATTCTAATAGTAGTGCATATCACTTCTTTTCCTATCCTGGGGCTTAGAAAATACTTTGCTTTCCAGATAATTGCTGCAAATGCCAGCTATCAGAAAAGGGAAATGTACTCTTCAACAGCATAGTAGAAAGAAAGAAGCAATCAAACCACTGGTGAACAGCTGAATTGTGGATTTGATTTAAAGATGAATTTTAAAGATTCATCTTTAAATCAAATCCATATAAATTTAAAGAATTGTCAATTAAGACTTTTTTTTTCAATTTTCATAATTTTCAATTATGACCTTGTTTCTCATATGAGAGTAGTGTGAAATGACTGCTGAAAAAGCATCAATAAGATGCAAACCATCAAAACCTATCTGGAAAAAGTCTCCCTAAACTCACCCTCCTTAAATTACTGCGGAAATTTACCAAAATACTTTAATTCCATATGGTAATCTTGTAGAAGAAAGTGACAAATTAATTAAACTACAAGAACAGGAAGTACTATGTTCTTGGTTAAATAATTTTTATGGTTACATTTACTATAAGCATACTGCACTGTTATTCCATTAGATGCTTGTTTAAAAAGAAGCCATTATTTACTGATCCTGTCTTATTTTTTTCTTGGAGTTCTCCTGATGGCAACCTTTTTTATTCTTTTGTTTTTTATTTTCAACACTTATTTTAAGTACTCCACTGTTAGGAAAAACACTTAGCTGTATATGAAGCCTTACCAGAAAACATCCTCCAGTATAGTCACAGGTAAAGGATGAGGATGAAAAAGTATGAAAAGCCTTTCCTTCACAGAAGTGTCAGGTGGAACTTTTTTTTTGGGTGGTGGAAGCAAAGCATCAGTTTGGGGCTGAAGTAACGGTGAGCCAGAGGTTCCTCCAAATGCCTGCTGAAATGGGAGAAGAAAAAAAATCAACTATAAATCAATCCTAGGAGAAAAAATAGCATCATTTCATCTTGTTCAGAATTTTTGTTCCTACTACAGGACATAGATAGGCTCTAACAGTTAATTTAAATCTACTTCATTAAATTGAATAACAAAGAAATAAGGTCAGATATTTAAAGGGAATGAAAAAAAAACCAATACACACACACACACACACAAATCAACCAGAGGTATTTCTAAATATTCTAAATATTTTCTAAATATGTAGCATCTGAAGCTATTACAGAAGAAAAGCAGGCAGTGCTCTTTACATCCGGAGTTTCTTAATTCAAAGAAAATGACTATTAACAGCATCCATCATATTAACTTACAGGAGGTGTCCTATACTGCTGAACAATTGCGTTATTATTTCGCAGCACTGAGGTCATATGTGCTGTTACCAGTTGTGTTGCCATTTTTCTGATGAGGCTGCAAGAAGTGATAATGAATTGTTTTAAAGCAAGAACTACGTTAGTTAACTTCAGCAAGAGGAAAATAAAGTTCATCCTAGAAACACATGAAGATAACAATAATCTGCAAACTCAAGTACATAATTAAAAGAAGAGGCTTCCATAACACTCTAAACTCAATCTGAAAGCATACATTCTACCAGCAACCCACTGAAAAAACTCAGTTCTACACAGAAACACAAAACTCCTTGCTTTTTCCAATATTACAACAAAAAAGAAACATCAACTCTACAGAACCCTTAACATCACGTGAAAGGTGCCAAGGTAACAGAAGAGACAGAAGTTTCTCTTGTTTTTAAAAGAAAAGCACAGGGATTCAAATCAGAAGACAGAACATTATCAAATGAAGTTCATTTCCAGCTCTCATTCTCCAGTACTCTTTCCTTCATTCTGATGGAAGGATAAGAAAAGCAATTGCACGTTTACACAGCCTATGTTTTAAGGCCATAAAATCATAGGAAAGTACTGAAGAGCAAAAGACAACAATTGTAAGAAGGATATTTGCAATGAATTTTTTCAAGCTTAGATCAGGCATAACACTTCAAAAGTCAATTTTCCCATCATGGCTCTGCACAGTACTGTTTTTATTTGTATCCCAGAACAGCTCTGATGTATCAAATAGCTCCATTTCTTTCCTAAAGGAATCTGAAGTATTCACTATAGAAAAACAGATAGGTTACTTCCACTTCTACCAGCATTCAGATATTTAGGTTTGAAGTATAAGGATTGCCAGATTTTACAAGTACAAAAACCAGATCCTTGGATTTATTCAGCCTGTGTGTTTCACAAGGCCACTGTCTGCAGTACTGCAAACACTGCTAACAGATCAAGCAAGCAATATCTGCTTCAAATATAAAGCCTCAAAAAATACATTAGAGACACCCTACTTATTACAGGGACCTTTAAGGATTCTTGCCAAGTTTCCTAACATGTCTTAGGAATATATATTTTAATCTTTCTTCAAATTAATTCCTCTTAAATCAAGATATTCATTCTCAATTTCAAAAAATAAAACAAAGAACCAACACACAAAGTGTGAAACTAATTTAGTAACACCACTGTTACCTTCTATTGTTAAATAATAAATAATAATAGTTTTGTTCTCCAGAATACAACTTACCAATTTTTCTAAGTATTGGTACTTACTCTGAACTATCATTCCCATCTTCTAGAAAAATGACAGTTAATCTGTTTCCAGGAGGATACTCAAACCCATGTAGCTTATACTTGGCATATATAGCTGATGCAGCTGTACTGTACTGAATCACAGCATAACCTACAAATACAACACACATGGTTCCAGTGCTTTACAAGCAAATGTTAAGAATGTAAAGAAGTAGGATCAAACTACAGGTTAGTCATGGATGCTACAAAATTCCTAAGTCTCTTTACCACGTTGTACATTCCTTACTAGCAACATTAATATTATTTGTGAAATAAACTTCCCTGAAATTAACTAGTGACAAATCACCTATGTTTATATTAATTTGAAAAGCTGGTAATAAGGCAAGAAGACATGTCCTATGTTGCTGAACTCTCAGTTAGAACAATAGTCTAAAAATATAATTATTCCAACAGTGGCACTGTAAAGTTACACTGTAACTGAATCATTTCCATTTCACACTGCACAGGGCTCCTTCGTGTTTTTCCATCTACAGCAAAACAAGAACACTGAAACCAAAACAATTCTTCCAATACAAAAGAAGTTATGCTTTGGAATGATTTCATCCCATTTACTCATGTCAGTTTTTTTTTTTTTAATTTTTTTTTTTTTTTTTTTTTTTTTTTTTAAACACACCACACACCCCCACACACCCAACTATTTCACGATGAGAACTCAGTGATCTACTTTTAATGTCCTATAAACAGATGTCTAATCTACAGGTATTTTTCTTTCCATTATGTCTAGAACAATTAACTTCACTTGACGAAAATAGTGATTCTCAAGGATTTGATTATGTCCCTTCCTGAGATTCTGTTAGTCTTACATATAATTACTTTATTATTTTCTTTTTGTAAATGAGGGTTCAATAAAAATAGAATGTTTAGTCTTAGGCAATGGTAGTACTTAACCACTGACACAAGAAAAAGCTTTTACTTACTTAGTTTTACTTACCATTATTAGTATGAGGATCTCGCTGAACATCACAATACTCCAGTCCTGGGACTAGATCAAAGAGGGCAAACAGCTGTTCTTGGATAAAAGGAAGCCGTGATACCACTGACAGACGTTTGGAGACTGACTCCTGAATTCTGGTCTCATTTTTTTCAAAACTACAAAACTCTGGCTGAGCACCTCAAGAATCAACACAAAAATAAACAACCAAATTCATTATAATAAGCATGCCTTCAATTCATATGCTTCTGAAATTTGAATGAAAACTGCAATCTAAGTGAATTACACACCAAAAGTAATATGCATTTTTCATGAATGCAGATCTTGAAATAATCAGGCAACTAGACCAAAGCATGCCATAAGAACATAGGAGTGAAATGCCCACCTCATTTCTAACTCAAACATCTAATCCACCAGCTGTGAAACTAGGCTTCCTTTAGACTGCCTTTTTCCAAACTGCCTTTAGATTGTGATTTGATTACAAATAATTTTCAGTATAGAAAACTGTGACTTACAAAATGGAAATACGTTTCCTCTTGGTTCTTGTCTTGCATTATTGCTATAATATTCATGTTCAAAAGATTCAGATGACTTATTTTTCGGTTCAGCCAAAATGGCTCGGTAGCCTGGAAGAAACCATCACACATATTGCAACATCTCAGCATACTTTAAATATTTCTGAACATATCTTCATTCTCTAAATATCTCATTCAACAACACTTTACTCAGAATAAACACCAAATACTCTCATTTAACATGTAACTCTCGCAAGTCGGCATAATCAATGACGTGGAAGTTAACTTGTAAAAGTGTCACATGTGGAACATGTTAAGTGCAAGTGAGCCTACTTACTCTGTGGGTGACCATGCATCAGTACCTAAAACGACTCAGGCATGTCCTTGTGAATAACCTAATTAATATTCAAAGCCATCTGGACGTGCTTCCAGACAAGACAAATTCCAGGAGTCCCCTCCAACCTCAACCATTCTGTGATATTTGGCAGGACTTGGAGATGTTCTGGAGGCAATCAGCTCAACTTCCACAGAACTGTAACAGCTGCTCATAGATGTTTTGTGCTGATCTACATTCTGTTTATCAGTAGTTTAGGTATTAAGTACGTATTAACTCTTAGGCCATCTAATCATTTCATTTCAAACTCAAACCATAAAGGAAATAAATTGAACTGCTAATAAATATCACTCATTTTTATGAGTATTCTTGCATAGGGATAATAATTGTTCAGAACTTCTTATGATACACCAGGCATATTACTTAAAAAAACAAAAATGAGCAAAAAACTCCCACACAACAAAAAGAAAAAAACAATAACAGAAAACCTAAAACTACATGCCAAAGTGTTTAATTTTTAGTAAGTGAAGGAGGTTGGACTGGAAAAGTGCTGTTAAGTTTCCCCAAAAGCCTCTCTACTGGCTGAGCAGGCCCAGTCCCTGAGCCCCCTCCTCACAGGTCATGCACTTCAGCAGCCCTCCACTGGATTTATTCCAATTCCTTAACAACTGTTTGGTACCAGGGCATAAATGACAAATGGTTGATTATAAAGTGGGCAAAGACTTATTTTCTGCAATACATTAATCCCAATATTAAATGGAAGGGGGGAGGGAAGAAGGAAAAAACAAATTACCTAAGAACAATTTTAGGTTAAGTTTATTTACAACAAATTTATTATTTATGGATTATGTTTGATATATATAGTATATGCATTCCCATATATATATCTAAAAATGAGGTTGTCCTGGGTATGAAATCTAAATGAGAATATCACCTGGTTTAAGACAAACTATCAATTTCTACACTCTTTTCACTGATCTTCCTTCCAGGGGCTAGTGATACAAGAACATTATTAGGTGAATGTTAGTAATACTATTTTTATTTGCAACAGAACTTTTGTCTCAAGATGTGTTTACACACCATAAATAATTTACCTGCAAGCAAATGTAACAATTAAAGGTATATTAATGATGGTACATATTTATCGTGAAAGATTTTAACGAGTTCAATTAGATTCTTACTTCGATCACACTCCTCAATTGCTCGGGCAGCTTGCGATGGTTTTAAGTACCTCACATAGCCCAAACCTTTGCTTTCTCCAGTAGTCTTGTTTTTAATAATGCTGCAATACTCAATGTCTCCATACATCTAGAACAATTAAAAAATGTATTAATACACAATATTTGAAAATGCATTAGAGTTCCATGATTTAAGCTCCTCTGAAAAATTAAGAAAAAAAGCTAACAGTGAATCAGCACCTTAAACTTCTCTCGCAGGTCTTCCTCTGTATAGGTCTTTGGTATCATAACAAAGATTCGTGTAAGCTCCTCATCTTCAACATCTCGGTGGCTTCCAGAAGCTCTTGATTGTGCAATGAATACCTAAGAAAAGTTACATTAACTACTGGAGGAAGAGTCCTAGCCAAATCCCAAGTTAGTTTTTAGGCAAATTTTTGCATTTCTCACTCACGTTATATAGATTTCTTAGTAAGAAAAAGAACATCTCTGATCACAGATGCACCTGCAACAGAAGACCTGTAAGCACAGGACACCCAAAATGGTTTCTCAAGCAGGACAGCAGGCAGCACAAGTTTCCACTGGGGATAACGCAGTACGGCAAGGAATATTAAAGCCCAGTCCAGTAACACTGCCAGTGCCACAGGGGGCATCTGATATAGCAGCACATGCTTTATTGCAACTGGTTAGCCCTAGTATAGCAGTCTTAATGAGAATGAAAAGAGCGCACAAACTGAAACAAATGAGGTGCAGGGGGAAATCGGGGGCTTCAGTTTCCAGCTCAGCTAGATCACAGTCTGCAGGTAGCATTCACTTAACCATAGCTTCTCAGATCTGTAGTGAGAATATCTTAGTTTTCAAAACAAACTTTACCTGAAAACCGCATCCCAGAAGTTATCCTAGAAGATATCCAGGCAAGGAAAAAAAAAGAAAAAAAACCCACCCTAAAAACAGTAAGAACCTTCCAAACAAGCTCAGTGTGCAAAAGTAGCAATTGGTTTCACAGAACTCTGGAATTGTTTTTGTAATGGTTGTGCAGGAAGATAAGGAGCACAGCTCAGATCTCCTGACTTCTAACAGCAAGAAAGATTTCCCTAAATGCTCATCTTTTCCCCACAGTAAAGTGCATGGGATCTTCAGTGTACAAAATCGTTCAAATGTTATCATTATCTGAGGAATGCAAAAACAATTCAAGAGGCTGAAACCTACCACCAGGTTCCATAGATTTAAAAACGCAAAGAGCTTGTGCACGAGATACGAAACCCACATAAAGCACTCTTGCAAAGACATTAAAGCACCTACAATACATTCCCTTGAAATACCGTACAGGCATTAAAGGTTTTAAGAAAGCGATACAACAGAGACAGGATAGTTTTCAGGCACCGCACTTCACCCAAGCCCGCAGCAGCTCTCACGACGCAGCGGGGCCAAAGGCAACACCCTGCGAGCTGCGGCCCTCCGCCGTGCCGGGACGGATGCGGGCTGAGGGCGGCCCGAAGGCTCCGGCCCGACCCGGCCGTACCTTGATGGGCTTGGTGTCGGGGGCCAGGCTGCGGCCGTGCATCTCCTCCATGGCCCGGCAGGCCTGCGAGCTGCGGGCGAACTTGATGAAGGCGATGCCTCGGGACTCGTTGGTGCGCTTGTCGCGCAGCAGCCAGATGTTCTGGATGTCCCCGAACGGGGCGAAGCGCTCCCGAATCAGCGCCTCGCCCGCGTCCTTGCCCAGCACCACGAAAACGCGGCTGTTGGGAGGCTCGTCCAGGCACTCGGCCGACAGCCGGAATCCGCTGCTCTCCTCCATGGCGGGGCCGCCGCTCGGCTCGCGGGCCGCGGAGGAGCGCTGGCTCTGCTCGGGGGCGGGCGAAGCGCTGCCGCCCGATTCCTTCCGCCGGGGAGACAACATGGCCGCACCCCCCCCCCCACGCCGCGCCACGTCCCCGCGCGGGCCGCTGGGACGGCGCACGGAGCGCACCACCTCCTGCACACCCCGGAAAGGGGGGGGTGTAGCGCTTAGTCCCGCCCCCCGGATCTGCCACTCGCCAATCAGAAGAGAAGGCGCGGAGATCTCCTCTTCATGATTGGCCGCCTCTTCGTGACGTTCCGTTGGCAGGGCTGAGGGCCGCGCGAGGAGGGGTGCAGGCGGGGTCGGGTGGGGTGCAATGGGTGGCGGGGTGCCGCTTTCGCCTGGCTTGTGGTGCGGTGGCTTCCTTTGAGAAAGTCCTTAGCTAAGGCTTGGTTAGCTTCCCTGCGTAAGGATGCTGCCATTGCCTGCGTGCCCAGCTACAAGGCTACAATTAAAAATGGGTCTCTTGAAGGAACACAGCCTGAGTACAACTCTTGTTTTGGAGTGTCCTCGGGGTGTTGTTTCTTTTTTGATTTGCTTTCGTTTTTCTGGTTTGTTTGTTGTTGTTTTTGTTTTGTTGTTTGGGTTTGTTTGTTTGTTTTTGTATCGTTTGGTATTTTTTATTCAGACTGGCTTCTTCTGCTAGTCTGCACATTACATGGAGGAGGGAAAAAAAAGTGTTTCCAGATGTTTGGTACCTGCCCAGCAGCTGTGTTAGCAATTAAACTTCAGCTGTTGTTTTATAAATGGATGAAGAAGACTAACGGACAAAGGAAGGGCAACTGATGTCACCTCCTTGTGCTTGTGCAAGGCCTTTGACGTGATCCCACATCACATCCCTATCTCTAGACTGGAGAGATGCGGACTTGAAGGCTGTTTGGTGAATAAAGAATTGGTTGGGTGGTTGCAGCCTGAGCGTTGTGCTCCACAGTTTTGTGTCCAAATGGAGGCTGGTGATGAGTGGCATCCCACAGGGGTCGGTTCTGGGACCAGTACTCCTTAACATATTTATCGCTGACATAGATGATGGGATTGAGTGCAGCCTCAGCAAGTTTGCAGATGCCAGCAAGATGAGTGGTGCCACTGGCACAATAGAAGTGAGATACACCATCCAGAGGGATCTGGACAGGCTTGAAAAATGTACAATCAAGAACTTAATAAGGTTCCACAATGCAAGACATTGAGTTGGGGCAATCCTAAGTATGTGTACAGACTGAGAGAAGAGCTCAGAGCTCCTACCCAGGACTGTTTTGGGGAAGAAACATTACCTTAGAAGGGAATTTTTTGAAAGGCTAACTTTTACTAAGATAAATGGTAAAACCCTGATGCTGTAGTGGTAGTTGAAGACTTTTTAAAGACGCTCTCTAGACTGTAAATAAATAAATAAACAAATAAATAAATAAATAAACAAATAAAGATAGGACCGAATGGTAAAAAGTAAACCAATATAGTTCTATACACCAAACACCAGGAAGCACAACTATCCTTTTGGCTAAATCCACAACTCTCTTTTACATACATACTTTAATGAGCTTATGTCATAGTGTGATTTGATAACATTGATTCTGCATCTTTGAATGCTGTACTTGAATATTTCCCAGTTGGCATGCCATCATCAATACAATTCTAAGTCGTCTTGAATATAGCAAAACATTGTTCCGTTATTGCTTTTGAGAATTCAGATATCTTGCTTCTAATTGCATTATTTAGAAGTTTTATTGATTGCATTCTTAAGTGCCCTATTACTGCAATTGTATATCTACACTGATTAGACTTCATATTTTTCAGACCCTTCTGGTATTGCTTTAACAATTAAGCCATTCTTTTCAATTTGGATTTTTTTGAAAGGGTGATACAATACATTTTGTACTGGCGTACAAAAGTAGCCATGGTAAAGACACTTTTAAAGTGTGTATGGGAACTACTGAATCACGGCCTGAACCTCTGATTGATCACCTGAGGCAAGCAATAGTCAGCTCTGGGAGCACAGGTGAAGGCAATTCAGCTGTGCTGCTGGAAGAGGTGGAGCCTGGCTCCATCTCTCCTAGACCCATTTAAGAGCTGACTACCAGTAGGAAAGGATCTCTTTTGGAGATTCCTCCTCTGGAGTTTTGCAGCAAGGCCAGGATGGGGGCAAGCATTTTATCAGTTCTCTTTTTGTTATTATAACCTGCTAAGCCATACTCTCTTGTTTATTTTGTACGTATAATATTTTTATATTTATTGATTATATAGAGTGTCCCGAGAGTTTTTGCAAAATAACACAGTAGAATTGTGGTGTGGGTGTTGTTGTTGTTTTGTTTTGTTTTGTTTTTTTAAGTTTGGTTTTGTTTCTTATTATCTTTCCTTGTCCAATCCTCTGATTTTGAACATGTAGTGCACGAATATGTAGCTAATATTTACTGAAGCATATCTCCTATAACGTATTTGTGGAAACAGTCTTCAACATGTTCTGCATTTCTTATTACAACATTTTCCTACCTAATAAACACTTTCAAGGATATTACTGTATTTGAATCTTGAGTATTTTTTATATGGTTTAGCTCAAGATACATTTATGTTTACACTATTATAAAATAAATGTATAGTCTTAATAAATGTTAATGAAACAAGATCCATATGTATCCTTAAGTAGAGGGGAAGTAATCACAACTTTTCATTCTCCTGAACTGGAAAAGCTATTTTGATGTCAGATTAGAGGACACTTGCTGATTTTTTTGAAAACTCCTTCTATATGAATTATGATAGATGATAACACCTAATGAGGTAACATTAGTTATTCATCAGATACTTTCATGGCTATTTTCATGTGTGTTGATTTAGGAAACACCGAGCTTTGTATTTCTTTCTAGCATTGTTTTATGAGGTGAAGTACTCCTGGGAGTTTTGTTTCTGGTTAGGAACAATCCATCACATCTCTATTGTGGTGGCAGCCTCCTTCCTGCTCTCAAAACATTTAACAACGTAGATTAGAGCAAGAGACTGGAGTAAGGGATATTTTGGATATGTCAGAGGAGTTGAAATGTACGGTACACAGAGACATTGAAGCTGCACTGTGGCCCTCAAGGAAATTTGGAGACGTTTTAAGTAACTCTTAAAAAACTTCAAGTAACCCTTATTCTCACCATGGAAGTAACACTGTAAGAGCAGTTATGTAGCTCAAAACCACATTGGCCTCCAGACATAGGATTGTCAATAACCTGATCACATAAGAAGTTGTGCATCTTAACAAGTCCAGGTCAATATTTCTTTAGTTTGAGATGTCATTTTTATTACTGTGCAAGGCAAATATTTTCTAGAACTGTAGAAGATAAATATTGCCAGTAATAGCAAACTACTTCTCTATAATGTCATTCTATTTTTATTATTATTTTTACATAGATCAAAATGGGTGATGTTGAAAAAGGCAAGAAGATCTTTATTCAGAAATGTTCTCAGTGCCATACAGTTGAAAAAAGTGGAAAGCACAAGACCGGACCAAATCTTTGGAGTTTATTTGGCTGCAGGACAGGATAAGCTGTTTTCCTGCTCAGAGGCAAACAAGAAGAAAGGTTAAGCTAACATGACATGAGGTGCAGTGCTGTATGGAACATATATTGGAAAAGGAAAAAAAAAAACACAACATTTTCTTTAGAGGTACAACATAGAGGCTCATTCACAGTGAGTTAACTCATAGCTGTCTGCTTTGCATAAATGTGAGGTGAATCTGAACTGCAGTTTCAGAAACAAAATCTCTCAGCCTATAAATTAAAAAGAAATGTTACTGGTATTTATCATGCTAGGTCAGAATGTATGCAGCTTTCCCAAAACTGTGCGGTATCAATGGGCAAATTATCATTTCTGTTAAGGGTGCTTCTGGATTTTGTTTGCTCGTTCCTACCCTCTGCTGGCATCGTGGTGTGCTGCACTTGTTTTACTCAGCAATACTTGACTAAATACCATCACCTACTAGTAAGCAATGACTTAAGCTTTGTGTATTTTAGTACAGTCTAGAAAGGCAGCACAACATCTACAAATGGAAAATAAGTCTGTATTCTTTTTCAAGCTTTCATTTTTAATGAATATTTTAAACTATATTCAAATGAAGCTATTAATTACAAATATAGTCCTATGGTTTTTTTCTTTTTTTCTGGTTACTGGGTGTTTTAGAATTTGTTGACTTTTTTTTTTCTTTTTAATTTTCCTGTGGTTTCTGGGGTATGTTTTTTAACACTTGCTTTGTAGTGGGACTTCCTTTGTATAAAATATCATATGTTACAACATGTATTAACTTACTGAAAATTTAGTGAAAAAATAATATGAATGTTAGTACAAAACATTAAAAGAAAACCAACAAAATAATATCTAAGTTATGATTAGGTACTTCAGTAGGCTTCTGTACAACATTAAGCTTCTGCTGACAGGCAGAATTTAGTAGGGTTGAAAGGAAACATTAATACTTCTTCAAATTCTCTTGCAATAATCCAGGTCCTTTTGCAGTCGACAGTTTAGTGTCAATCTCTATACACTCATTTGCAGTTGGATCTTCTAAATAGTGAAATTACAAAGATATTTACATAGTTCAAAAGCACTGGATTGTTCATGTGAACTGGCACAAATAACTGCAACTGACAATGATGGGGGAAAAAAGGGGATTTATGTTTGAATTACTGAAGTGACTCAAAGATGATTTGTACTTTCTGCACCATATATTATGCATCACTAGTGTTCAAATTCCCCTTGGATTGTGCGCACATTATGCTCAGGAGGACCACCGCACCTTGAGACTCTTGGTAACTGCCAGAAACATACCATGTTAGACTAGCCTTGCATTTTGCTGTTTTATTTCTGTGTTTTTTTTCTTTTTTCTTTTTTAAGAATTACCTGGAGTGAGAGTACACTGGAGTATTTGGAAAACCTAAGAAATACATTCCTGGCACAAAAATGATTTTTGCTGGAATTAAAAAGCAGAATGAAAGAGCCGACATTATTGCATACTTGAAAAAAGCAACTTCTTTGTGAACCATTGCTGCTGCAGCTGTTATGACACTGAAAAAACATTTTGAATTTTGATGAGCTACTATGTCAAGTTTTAGTGTGTTGATATTTATTGTCTATTAGGGCCTTAAAATCAAATAAAAGTATGGTTCAGGGTGCTGCATCTTCATAAACAACTTCAAGAGGTAAACATTACTAACATTGAATCATGTATTTCATACATCTTTAAGGAGTACACTACATGAAATATTGTTCCCTTCCCTAAGCAGAGAGTCCAATTCTATAACTAGTTATTCAAAGACCACTGAAACTATGTGTTATTTGGTTATAGCTAAGCAAATAGGAAGGTCTCTATATCAGGTTGGACAACTAAATTTTTCTTTTGGAGAAGGTTTTCTTGTTCACTGTATTGTCAGAGCTCCTTTATGTACTAAAACGGCATAAAAATCTACCAGTCATCTTTCAGAGTTGTGGATTTTTTTCTCCACTTGGTGCTAATGTACTGAGGTTTCCTCTAACGTGTAGAATGATTGAGTGCTGACTAACTTTAGCAACTGAGATTAGTAATAATATTTTCATTAACAGTGGATTGTTGATGAAGGTGACTACGCTTCTCCTAAAACCTCATGAATTCTCCTTTACCACTTGAATCAAGATTTACAATTTAATTATCTGTTTACATAAATGATTTAAAAATGATTAAAAAGTATCCCGCTCCAGCAAGGTTTCCTTATGTCATCACAAAAAGCAGCATTAGTACAAAACTAATTTGCTATCATGTCTGTGCCCAGGTACTCATCAGTACTGTTCCAGTGCTTGCCAACAAGGGGTTTCAATTAATTGTCTTAAAGAGCTCCAGAGCTGAGTACTGTATTTAGCAAAGGCAGTAAGTGAAAATGAGATAAATCATTCTATGACACAAGTGAATGAGTACCTGCTTTACTTTCCTTGTGTCCTGTAGCTCTAAGATGCATTCCAATTTCAAGTGTAATATTTTGGACTTGTTCTATTGACTGTTTACAGACAATTAAAGTAAAGCATCTGCCTGAATGACAAAAGTTTCCTCAGGTACTTTCCTCAACTGCATTTTGAGGAGTGCTAAGCCCCTACTTTTCTCAATAGAGAAACAGACTACCTGACAAATGCACTGATGCTTCTGCTTGTCATCCTGTTAATGCATCTGTGTGCTTTGTGCCCAAGGAGATCAGGCTACAAAGCTGCCATGGTGTCAAAGTTGGCATTGTAAATCCATACCAACAATCAGTGCACCATACCTGAGATGCACCAGTTATATGCTGCTGTAGCTCACCGCAGCGTATCTGTAGAACTATGACAGCGCACAGCAAAACCATGGAGCTGACAAAATGCCTTTTTGTCTCTCTCAAGAAAAGCTGTAGATACTCAATCTCAGGCCCGCACATGAAGCTGGAGCCCAGAGTACAGTGTGCTCAGTGTACTCACGCTGCAAACGGAGGCGTCCTCTGACATGCGCCAGGCTGCAGGCAAACCCCAATTCTCTCCTAACATCCACTGAAACAACAGGTCAGGCTTCCAAGGAGGGCTTTACTGTGACAACTCACAGAATAGCCTCTATGAAGAGATACGGAAAAAGCATTATGCCTAAACTTATAGAAACACTACATTGCCTACACACAGAACTGCCGCACAGTACCCATTTTGTATTAAAGCATTGGTATGAGTGCTACTACACTGAGATGGCAAAAAACTGTTTACATACAATTATTTCAACCGTATGGAGATGCCTAAAGGGCCTCTGCTGAGAGATCGAGGTGAGTGAGCGCTCAGCAGCTCAAGATGTTTCTTTGCGCAGGCGACATGTTTGTGCCCGCGCTGCAAAAAGTAAATGCCAGCGGAAAGGCCAGGCGGGAACCGGCGGCTGCGGGCGAGCAGGTGCCCCCCGAGGGCGATGCTTACACAGCGGGCGGCGAGGCCGGCATCTCGGCGGTGTCTTCCTCCCGTGCTGTGACAGAGGCTGAGGGGCAGCGATCCCCGTTCCCCAACCCTGACAGCGTTCCAGCGGCGGGCCAAGGCGCGGGCAGCCCGGAGAAGCCCCTTTGCAGAGCGTCGCCCCGCGGCTCCGCAGCCGGGCACCTCTGGGCGGCCGGGGCGCGGCTCCGCTCCCCTTCCCCGCCCCGGCAGCCCGCGCCTGCGCGCCCCTCTCCGCCCCATTGAGAAGCGGAGCCACCGGCGGTTTCTCAATGGAGCGCCGGCCTCCTGCCGCAGCCGCCCCGTGCGGGGGGAGAGGGGGCCGAGCAGCGGCAAAGCGGGGCCCGCCGAGGGGCGCGGAGCCTCGGCGGCTCGGGGCCGCGGTGAGGCGGGAGGCGAGCTCCTTTGTCTGCCGCTCCCCGAGCTGTCTCCGGGCCGCGGTGCCCGCAGCGCTCGCCCGACCTCTCGCTACGCGCGGCTGCGGCGGAGAGCCCCGAGTGTCCCCGCGAGCCCCGCTCCGGAGGGTGTCCGGGCTGAGCGCCGCACGGACCGCTGTAGGGACGGGGAGCTCCGGCGGCCGGGAATCTCCTCCGATCTCGGATTAGCCCGTGTTTTCCCAGCCAGCCCAACTCCCATTCATGAATTTCTGAAGCCGCCTTCATTCAGTCTTTACCTAGCGCATGAAAGACATTTTTCACGTGTTAGGCTCCATGACTCCGTGTTTTTTTTTCAATCGCTTTTGCGTAGGCATCAGTGGAGCGCTGAAACGTGCTCCACGTGCGCACGGGAATAACCCCGCACCGCCTGCCTCGGTGGATGCGGCGCTGGCCGGGGGCCAGGGGCCGGGCCCCGGCGGAGGGCGATATTCCCGCTGGGAGCCCCGGGTGGCGGCAGCCCAGTGGCGGACCCACGGGGCACGGGCGGGCACCGCACGGGGACGTGCAGGCACCTCCGCTCGAGGACCCAAGAATTCACTCGGTCTGAACGAGCTCCTTTCGTTCCGTCTGTCTCCTGAAGTGCTCAAGCCTGGCAGATGATGCTATCAATTAACCCGCTCCGACAGCAACACTCGCGCTACCTCTCCCCGCAACGCCGGGATGCCCCTTCCCCGCACACGCGTGGCAGACAAAAGGACCCCTTCTCGCTCCGAGTTCCCCACGAAATTCCCGAGCGCGGCGCGCGTTCCCCTCGCCCCGGGCCCCCCCCGCCCCCCCCCCCCCCCCCCCCCCCCCCCCCCCCCCCCCCCCCCCCCCCCCCCCCCCCCCCCCCCCCCCCCCCCCCCCCCCCCCCCGCAATCGGGCTCTTCGGCGCTGCCTCCTCCCGCCGCCCCCCCGCGCGGCTCACGCGTCCTGCCGCCGCCCTCCCCTCCCTCCCCGCCTCCCCCCTCGCTCAGTGGGCCGCCGCCTGGGTTACGCAGCCGCCGCCGCCAGCGCTGACAGCGTCGGGCGGGAGGGGTTTGCCCGAGCATCTCCAGAGGCGCGGCGGCAGCCCGGGACCGAGGAGCAGAGGAGGAGCAGGAGGCGGGCAGCGGAAAGAATACCTGGAATAAGGCGGATAGTAATAATAAAGGGTGGCAGGAGAAGGAGGGCGCGGGGACAGGGGGGGACGAAGAGAAGCGGCCCGGTTCGGCCGCGGGACAGCAGCGGCTCCCGTCGGGGCATGGCCTGAAACGCCCCCCGCTCCCCGTACCATGGCGGCCGACGGCGGCCTCGACGTGGCGGCGGTGGAAAGTTTCCTGGACAGGCACCCCGAGCTGGTGGAGAGGTGGCTGAAGAGGAGAAACTCGCTTCCCAAGGCGCCCGCCGGCGGACCGTCGGAGGAGCGGCGGGTCGGCGGCGGCTGGGGCGGCGCGGGCGGGCCCGGAGCCGGGGGGCTGCAGCGGAGGGCTTCCCAGAAGGAGCTGCGGAAGAGCTTCGCCCGCTCCAAGGCCATCCACGTCAACCTCACCTACGACGAGCACGTGCACGCCCGGGCGCAGGAGCCGCTGAGCAGCGTGCGGCGGCGGGCGCTGCTGCGGAAAGCCAGCTCCTTGCCCCCCACCACCGCTCACATCCTCAGCGCCCTGCTGGAGTCCCGCGTCAGCCTGCCCCAGTACCCGCCCCCGGCCCTGGACTACAAGCGCTACCTCAAGGAGCATAACGAACGGCAGTTCTTCCTGGAGCTGGTCAAGGACATCTCCAACGACCTGGACCTCACCAGCCTCAGCTACAAGATCCTCATCTTCGTCTGTCTCATGGTGGACGCCGACCGTGGCTCGCTCTTCCTCGTGGAGGGGGCGGCCGCCGGCAAGAAGAGCCTGGTCTCCAAGTTCTTCGACGTGCACGCCGGCACCCCGCTGCTGCCCTGCGGCTCCACCGAGAATAGCAGCGAGGTGCAGGTGCCCTGGGGCAAGGGCATCATCGGCTACGTGGCGGAGCACGGAGAGACGGTCAACATCCCCGACGCCTACCAGGTAGGAGCCGGGCGGGACCCGGCGTTCCGCCGCCCCCGGCTCCCTCGGCGCTGGGCTCCGCCGCCCGTCCTCGGCCCTGCCTCCCCCTGGGTGCCTCCCGGGGATGGTACGGGGGTCTCGAGAAAGGCACCCCGGGGGGGACAGCGGGGCTCGGCTGGCGGCGAAGCGCTACAGCTGTGCTGCCGGCTTTCTCGGGAGTGCTGGGTGGCTCCCTGCGTTTCCCGAAAGTGTTCTGGAATTCGCTGAAGAAAAGTTTAAAGAGATTCTCGTGATGGTCCCAATAGTCATCTCCTCAAATCTCGGTCTCACGTAGCGTTCCCCGCTTGCCCGCTGCTGACATAATCTCACTGCCTTCAAAGAAGCGTGTATTTCCATCTTTGCTTATGCCCGCTCAGACCGCATGGCATGCGTTTGCAGACCCTTTCCTAGGAGTGTTATATATCCATCCCTGTTATTCTCTTGCAGGGAGTTTCCCCACGTTTCATAGAAGCTTCAGTTTAAATCGTGAAATGTAGTCCTGGCTTCGGGGCAAAAATGCTCAGGCTTCAGCATGGACAGAAGTCCCGAGCGTGCAAATGCAAAACAGTGTATTCACTTTGCTAGCTCCGGGTTTACAACCCTCTCCCGCAGTCCTGGGGGTTGATTCTGATACGTGTGAGCATGAGGCACTGTCAGCAGTGTCAGAGTCTTTAGAAAATTAAGAACCAGAAAACTACACATTTCTAAACGAGGATCTTGGAAAGTTTTAGGACGATGAGAGATGTATGTCTTCAAGAATTCTGGTAATAACCATTGTCCAGTGTCTAATTCTTTAGAATAATAACAAAAAGCAGCATGGGGGGGAAAAAAAAAAATGATGATGCTTGATGCTTTGTAACAAACCATCCAAGGAGTAAACTTAGAAAAATAATATTGGAGTTTTTGTTTGAAATACAGAAGAGCTAGGCTAAATGTATTTGGGGCTGAATATTCATATTTTTGTCAACCAGTGAAAAATACCGAGCTCCTCGCAGGTACGCATTAAGAGAGGTTTGCAGCCCACAGAGTTCGAAGAAAAAGAACAGAGCTTGGTAAAAAGACTGCAATATTCAGCCTAAAATGACTGCTTATTGGTTAAGCTTTGTAAAAATCTAAGCTTGCTCTCTTCCTTTCTTCTTTCCTTTATGCCCATTATCTGATTATTATTATTATTTTTTATAACTTTCCTTTCTAAAATTGTACTCTTCCCAAAATGTATGCTCTTTGGGGTCAAGCAGAAGATATTCTCAGTAGTCTCAAGTGAATAAACAGATTGAGAATATCTGAATTCAACTAGAAATAGATTGGTCCCATCTTTTAGGTCCAAATAGCCCTGGACACCTCTTTTGGAGGTGAGAATGTCACTGGAGAGGCAAGTGTTTTCCTAGTCATAAGGGACTATTATTTTTTCTCAAGTGTTTGTTCACTTCATATTTACTTCCCTGTGGAAAAGCCCAGCTACTTTCAACAATTTATTGTACCTTAGAAGAGAAAGTTCTGAGCCAAATTTATCCTGTAATTACATCAATTGCAACTTCACTGCTTTCTGTGGAGTTACTTCTGATTAATTCTAGTGAAACAGAAACTTTAGGCATTGTAGTTTTAATGAAAGTTTTAATTGATAATAAAAGAGGGATCTGCTTTCTGTCACATTTCCACCTTAATGCAGTTCACTCTTTTACCTGGCAGGTTTGTACCCATTGTGCATCATGAAAAGGAGACCTTTCTAATTTAATAGGACAAAGAGCCCTAGGGAGGGCCAGATACATGTGCAAAAAGTGACAGCTGTTCCATCTGAGGTCATTGTGGTGCTCACAATATCACTCTTTAAAAATTAACAAATGCAATAATATGATTTTTGTCAGCATTACCACTGATGATGGAAGCATTTAATCAACCATCAGGTTAAAAAAAAAATAGCACTATCAGGGAACTTTGTCAAGGTGACAGATGAAGATGGAGAAAAAGAGGTGAGAGAGCAGCACCATTTTGTCCACTGAAGAGAATGTTTACAGTGAAGCTACTCATTTGGTAAGGAAAGGCCTTTCATTGTATTAGGTCAAACCAGCACCTCTAGGTTAACGTAATAGCTTTTTGCTTTTTAAATGAGCAAACTTTTTTATAAACAGGTAAAAATACTTCCACATCATTAGTTACCTCATTTCCAATACTGGGAAATGTATTTTATGATCATGTGGCCACCTTTATCTTCTTAGAGCCTGATAAATATGAGCTGAAATGACTGTAATAAGCAACAAATATGGATATCTCACTGTAGCTTGATTTATAAACTTGATATGAAGTAAATGACTGAACAAACACTTTGGAAGTTCACTGCATCAGAGAATTTGAGAAATATTTAATTTATGGAAAGGTTTAGGTAAATGCTATATAACTGAGTCAAGAGATGCAGGATTCGTTCATGACATTAAAAGTTTTATTGACTACATGTTATGTGATTAAGGTGGGGTTTTATAACTGTATGAACATTTGTAAGATCTGTAATTTAATTTGTAAGAGTCCACAGAATTTTTTCAAAACAGGAGTGGAGATAGACACTTTCTTTACATTTTGGAGTCGGTTTTAAACACTTTATCCTGGAAGTGATCCTGTTGAGTGGTAACTTGGAGTCCTAGTAAGTTTAGGTTTTAAAATATGGCCTATGATCCTTTTCCTATATTAATTCTGGAAGCTTTATTGACTCCTTATGCAATAATCCAGTAAGTCTTGAGCATGTGTGTTCAAAGAATCAGTTCATATTAGCAAGGAAGGAAGGACTTAAGTGTCCTTTGAGTCTCCCTTTAACAAAGCATAGATGTAGTTTTTGCACAAGTATGAAACGTATTAAATATATTCTAAGTAGATAGAAGTGGTATTAAATCTTTATCCAGAGATCTTATGAGTTGTTTAGAAATTTCCCTTTTTTTCCTCACTACTTAAAGCTATGGATTTTTCAAGTAATCCCTTCTTCTTACAGATCTTCTATGACATCCAGCTAAGATTCCTGATCATTTCTATTTTGTTCCATCTTTTAGAGCAGCATTTAAATAACAAAATTTTAAAACACAAGGAATGCTTAGTTACTGCTGTAGTTTAAGATGTGCAAAAGTTTGGATTTAATTTAATAGCATCCCACATCCTTCTGACTACTGAAAAATCTTGCTCTTCAGAATGGCAAGTATATATCAGAAAGTATTGAAAAAATATGTTTGGCCATTTGCCAGTGTCAGCTGAAAAAAAAGTTTTCTGTACATCTTATGTTAAATTTGGAATTTAAAAAATAGCCTTAGAGATAAAATGGCTCTCCAGATTGATGTTTTAATAAAGTAAGGAGAAAAGAGAGAAGAAATATGAAAAGGAGTTATGCTAAGACTAAGACATGAGTTCTTGGAAGCTGGAGTAAGGGCAGTAAAAGATGATTAGAAGTGATTTTTTTGGGGACAGCTCAAGTCTTTGAAAAGAATATTAAAACTACCTTACTGGAATTAAAATCAAACAAAATGAATGACCTTAATACCGCCTTGCTCTGGACTTTGTCACATTTAAGCCACTGCAGACACAAAGAGGAAAAGGTTCTCCTTCCAGGCAAACGGCTCTTAATGTAGACTGTAACGAACAGATGGGAAGCACGTTTTATTATACGGGATAACTACTTGTTACCATCAGTATTAACAGTGTGTCTGTTTCCATTTTAAAGAGCAGTTACAGCATTAAAACCCCTGGTCCTGGGAGATCTAGTCCTGTGGGTAGGAAGCATTTAAGAGCTGCCTTGCTTCAGCTACTGGCACCAGCAACGCCTGCATGCATCTCTGTACTGTCTCTCAGTGCAGACAGAGGTTGCTCCTCTTGATAGCATGAAACATGGCAAGCAGAATAAGCAGTAATTTAACAAAAAAGAAAAAGTTCCATGTAACACAGAAAAAAATGCGTTAGAACAACTTTCGCCATGCATTAAACATGACTAGGAAGCATCATGGGGAACACAAGAGATAATTGCAACAGTAAAAAACTAAATTGCTCCAGTGTGCTCTCCGGGAAAGAGCACACCAGTCTGTCATACATTTCAAAACAGTTAAAGTTGTGAGTCCCTGGAAAGCAGCCTCATGCTATCTGTAGCCACAGAGGTAGGAAGACATGGTTATGGCCTGCATGGGGCACTAATGCCCCTATACCTTCCATTTCTGCCTCAGCCCAGGAGCTTGCTTCTCAGAGAGCAGATCCTGAGTGAAGTGTAAAGCATCCAGGGACCTTCCTAGGCTGTGCAACACACCATATTGCTGATAGAAGGCATACTGTGAGAAAAGAAACCAGGCTACCTTACGGGCCAGGCCATGCACTGACCTGTTTACATCAGGGCCAGCACCTCATGACTACCCAGCACCTGAGTGCCTGATCTGTTTTCTGGAGAAGGGTGCTCAGGTGGGTCCTGTTTGCAGGAAAGCTAAGTCTGAAGCCCACCCCTGCTCAGGTGTAAGGATTTTGGGGATTATTTGCTGTTACTAAGTAATTATCAGCAATAGGGTGTGGCACTTATAGATAGTGCTGAGGTAGGCTGGGTTGCTGACACGGGGTGATGAATGCAGCTTCCTAAAGTGAGTGTAGGATTTTGCATCATCAGCAGATTGGTAAGTTTGGATCTTTTTCCTTATCAAAAGATATTTGGTCTGTTTTCTCCATTGCTTTAATGGAGTAGTTACTCAGCATCCTAACCACTAGTTATGAAAAAAGCTGTGGTGGTCAGGGCTGGCTTTTCATTACTTCTTCCTACAGAAGTCCCCCTGGGTTAGTTTTCCTGTTCCCTTGTAAGGTCTACTTTTATCAGGCTGTCAGACTTTGCTGGTTTATCAGTTAGCTAGCCTGTCTGCCTGAAGAAGCAAAAAATTTCTTTTTTTTTTTTTTAACCTGTCACCCCTGCTGGATCTTCCTCTGGGTGAGAAAGCGGGGCCCTCCCTGGCCTGTAACTCCCTAGGCTGCTCTGAAGA